TATAAGAACTAGTTAACTAATTTGAGAAAATTAAAGAAATAAGTTGAGTTAGTTATTTGTTCTAAATAGGTATTGTCTTTCCTAAAATATCATTACTAATCAAGTGTATTAACTAGAACTGCCATTATTAGAAGGACTACTTTGAAATAAATAAATAAATATGAAAGATAAAGTTAATTGGGGTCTTATATTTAGAATCAAAATAAAAGTCAAATAAGATCTTATATGAAAGACTGGAGATAATATATTTGATGGGGGGTAAGAGAATCGTTTATGTTGTTAGTTATGATCACAAATAAGAAGAAAATCCAAGGAAAAACCCGGGACTGAGAATTCCAATTACTGCTATTTGTGTGAAGGTGAAGCAAATTATGGGAATAAATAAAATCCACGAAATCCACGACCCCCCCGGGGGGGGTTGTCCCTGCATGGTGTATACGGGAGGCGGCGTAAGATTAGGCGACTCTACCAAATCCAAACAATTACCCCGAGGAAGCAATCACATTGTATATTACAGTCCTGTCTAATGAATCTCTAATAAGGAACATTTTTTTTAGTAAAAAAAAAAGCCCCAAAAATAAACAGGTTGTTTGATGACAATGACGAGGTTTGTTAGGCACGAACCACGAATGAATCTGTCTCTGAGATCGTGTATGCATTCACTCCCCCTAGTGGTGGCCGGTGGGGTTCCATTTCCTAGCAACCGTTCCTCAATTTCTCATCTTGATATTTTCTCCTTTTCTTTTTAGCGACCAAATTTCATTTTATTCACACGCCCCCCAAAAACAGCGTGCTAAGAATAAATTCCAATTCACAGTTACGGACATGGTGATATCTTGATTTTAGTCCGAATTGGCCATGAAACTTCGTCGAGTTCTAGGTTCTCTTCCTCTATTATTATTCATTTGGATTTGTCGCGTTAAAGGAAGTCCACTCAGTGAGAATACGAGAGATAAAAGAAAAGATGCTCTTGTCAATGTAAAATAATATTCACGCCTCAGACTTCCAACACCAATGCTTGTATTTCCCATTTTCTTACACATTGTCCCCCCCCCCCAAAAAAAAAAAACCTTCTCTTGTTCTCCGGTGTTCTTATTCGGCCTATCACCGCCTGCAGCTCAATTTTCATTTTATTTCTTTGCTTCTTCAGTGAACAGTAATTTTTCATTGTGTGTTTCTCTCACTCTTTCTTGTTTTCTTCTGTTTTCGAATTTTTTATTCGTTAGCAGGGGCCTTGACAGTGAAACAAGTCTGCTTTTTGTCTGCTTCTCCCTGCGCTGTTTTTCTCCCCCTCATTCTCCAAATTTGCCTTCTGTTTTCACGCGCCTCTCCTTGCTCTTCCCTGAATTTATACTCCTGGGTCTCTCCGGCAATGCATCTATTACGCACATCTCTTTTTAATCAGATCATCGTTCTAAGCATATAGCGAGCCCTGTCTGATGCGTCGTACTCTTTCTCTGATCAATTAAGGTACGAGCCCCTCTTAACTTTGATTCTCGCTTATCTGCAACTTCTGTCTATTCCTCAGTACTTTTGTCCGTTCCTTGTTCCGGCCGCAAAAGGCACACCATCTGTTTGACAAAAAGCCCAAACGAAAGCTTGGAAGGCAAATTGAACTTCGTCTTTCGAAAATGAGGGATTTCCCTTCTTGTTTTGGTGAAAACGGAGTCCAGATTGCCGATTCTTCGTCGTCCAACACCGGCAAAACTGCCCAGAATCTGGTTACTTGTGTTTATCAATGCCGAATACGGGGCCGGTCTTGCCTGATTACTGTCACGTGGAGCAAGAACTTGATGGGGCAGGGCCTCAGCGTTGGGATCGATGATTCTTCAAATCAATGCCTTTGTAAGGTCGATATCAAACCATGGCTATTCTCGAAGAGAAGAGGCTGCAAGAGTCTAGAAGCTTATTCCTGCAAAATTGACGTATACTGGGACCTCTCGTCGGCTAAATTTGCGGCGGGTCCTGAACCATTGGAGAAATTTTATGTAGGAGTAGTTGTAGATCGACAAATGGTTCTCCTTCTCGGTGATTTGACGAAAGAAGCTTTCAAGAAGACCAATGCTATACCGTTGCCCTCAAATGCAGTTTGTGTAGCCAAGAGAGAACACATTTTTGGCAAGAAAGTGTTTGGTACCAAGGCGATATTCTCTGACAATGGTCAAGTTCATGATCTGGTGATCGAATGTGACACTATCAGTGTGAGTGATCCGCGTCTTATAATTCGTATAGACGGCAAAACTGTGTTGCAGGTGAAGCGACTGAGGTGGAAATTTCGTGGAAACCATACTATTTTAGTAGATGGTGTTGCGGTAGAAGTTTTGTGGGATGTCCACAATTGGCTATTTGGTTCATCTCTTGGGAACGCTGTGTTTATGTTCAGAACATGCCTTGCTGCTGATAAATTGTGGAATAGCCAACCCGTTTCTGATGCAAACCTGTTGCAGTGGTCTTTCTCTCAAAGATTTTCAGAGAGCAAATTGCAGAGTCTAGATTTCTCCCTCGTTTTGTATGCCTGGAAGAACGACTAGAGATGCGGGATTTCACAATCCATTCATTACTAACAAAACATCCAGTGAGTTGCGATTTATTAGTGATTTGTTTGGGTTACACCTTGCTTAAACCAAATCAGTTATCTGAGCTTAGTTGAACAGATCAGAAACATTTTTTCTCCAATCGGCTGTATATTCTTCAAGTGTTAATTTAATGATCATTATCAGACCAGTTATATGTTGCGGAGTCCTCTTATTTATGTTTAACATGTTCTCGTTCTTTCTTAATTAATATTTATTTCCATTTCTTATTCATTGAGAACTTATATAATCAATAATATAAGGCTGGAACGGCAAACTTGCACTGAAAATTTTCTGGCCAACCTGATGAGGTACTATCAGCTCATGTTAACCTCAGATGCAACTCAAGACTACCTATATCGGAAGTCTGCCGTTCTATGATGATGATTTTCTCAGATGCAAGTCAGGACTGCCTATATCAGGTGCCTGCCGTTCTGTGATGATGATATTTTCAGATCTCTGATAACCTTTCACGTATGTTCTATGATTCTGTGATCCAAATTATGCAACAGGTGTAAACGTTCTGATTACTAGAAATTACGATATTATTTTTCAAGACCACGCAACTGCTACTTCAGTTGCTAACCTTATGGAGAAGAATTGTTGACCACAAATTGACTCATTAGAAGTTGCGCAGTAATTTCCATTTAGTCCGCCGGATTATTGTTTTTGTATTATATTTATGACAAAATTAATAGTAATATGCAAGTAGTAAGTTCATCTTACAGCGCAGACACTTGCCTCTAATGCATGATGTCTGGCATACTGTGATTTGTCGGTACAATCTGTTGGTAGAATATTGCAGATTGTGGAAAGAAGATAGAGTCATGCCTGTTGGATTAGCTTCCGTTTCTTTTGTAAACGTGAGAAGGAAATGCATATGTAAGAGCCTTGTCGAAAAAGTATGTCTACTCTGCAATGCATGGTTGGTTATGCAGTCTCGTTAAATATAACCCCTGTATTTGCTATGCTTTTATTATTGTCACAAATCTCCAGCACAAGCTATGACAGTTACATCCTTGTTGATCCTTCGAAGTCAATCAAAAAACTTATGGTTGCTGAGAACTACTTACCATGTATTATTCTATAGACCAAAACCGCAGGTGTTCCCTGCCAACTCCCTAGTAAACTTGAGGGGTTTTAATAATGGCAAGAGGCTGGATCCAATGAAAAGCTTGTCTAGAATGCCCTGCAAAATGCGAAGATGCCCATGAAAAGCCGAAAAGAATTAGGGTGGCTCCGCGGGTCAATGGGAATGAACTTCGTCTCGAGATAAAAGTACGAGGCAATATGGTCATTTCACGACATGCTGATTGCGGCAGTACCGTCTGAAAACAAATGCAGTTTGCTGTGGAAGTCAAAGCATATAAACAGTGAGAAATTGTCTCGGGGAAGAGGGAATATTAGTGCAGTCATTATCAGCGGAATTGAGAGGATGAAGGCAAGAGGTACGGGAATCTTGTTGATGTGTGTCAGCGTACCAGCCATCCAAGGGTATGATGACGACCTTCCATCAATCTTTCTGTATGACACGAAGCCGATTCTGTCAAGAAAGAATAGCGTGTGCTTAGAAGGAGATCGAAACCGTTAGTTGCGATGCCATTTGCATTAATGTCCCCTCGCGTCCCCAGCGCTCCCGACAATTCCCTCTCCCAGCAACAATCAAAAGGATGAAACAAATCGCATTCATTCATTCCTAAACGTCAACTGTCAGTCTTCTGCTTCTCAAAATTCTCTCCTTCAATGTTTTTTCTGGAGGTTGTCGTCCATCGCCAATCATCGCCCACTCAAATTCAACCCCAACTCCGTCATCTAATTCAAACCTTTTTTTTTCCGGTTAATGTGGAATTCCATCCACAGCTCTTATTTTCAGGCCCAGGCTGCTACACATCGCTGACTACCAACACTACACTAAGCCACAGTTCAATTGGCGGCCCCTTTCCGTATGAGACCTTACACAACATCTATGAGATGACAGTATAATTAATCAACCACCTCAGCACCAAACATAAACGACTATATGCGATGTATTGCCACGTCAACAGTGAGAATTATAGACAACTCATCTATCCGACAAAAGCCTAAGCCCCGGTTCCTCACAAAAAGGGAAAACAGAAAAGCACAAAAAAATACCTGAAGCCTCGTTAGCAGTGGTCTTTTATTCAGAAAACAAGCGCATATATCACCATATGCCATGATAAATATACCATGTCAACACAGGGACAACATAAAGGATGTCATCAAAAGAATCCCAAGGCTCCATCCTAGTACTAGGATTCTAGGTAACTCAAATATATGACAAGCCTACGCCACGAAATTCTTCAATAGTCGTCTTCCATTGTTTTGGCTGCGCTGCCGCGTTTTCAAATTTATCCAGGGAACCAAGAACCCAGAATGCATGTCCAACATGAAAAAGATGAGAGGTGATAAAGGATATTGGGGCTTGGGAATTCAGATAATAATCCGCCACAAAGGACCAGAGAGGCCTTGAACCGATCATTAACCGAGATGATTCATATCAGTAGGACCCTTTCATACAGTACTCGCACATAATAAGGGTCAGTATTCTCTGTCAAACATTATCATAAAAAACAGAACATGGACGCAGGACATTAGAAGGCATAGAACTAAATAAAATCGGATCTTGCGTCTTTCAATGAAGGTCCACACTTTAAGTATGGCCGACAAGTTTTTTAATTTTAAAACGGACAAGCCAAATTGACCGGTACTTCCGAAATATGAGTTGATGAGGCTGCTAATAATCACTGTCAACGTCAAAAAGTGGGCTAAAGAACAAGAGGTTTCAAGAGAAAGGCTTGCATCAGGAAGACAACGTTAGACCCTTCAAGACTGTTGTAACCTGAGGAAGCTTGTCAGGAGCCCTCTGCTTATAATCCTTCTCCAACACTTTGGCCGCTAGAGATTGTACTTGTGATTTATCCTTGTCTTCCTTGCTCTTCCCTCGCGTAAGCTGCACAATAGCAGAAGTACACTGGAAAGCAGGAGCAAACTAAACGATTCAGGCTTAGAAATAAAAGGCTTTGAAGAGAAAGTTCAGAAATCCCAAGTTCCTGAGTAGATTTTAGTTCCTACATTCCAGACAACTTTCAGAATGCTTATGTTTAGCATCATAGTATCTAAGATGCTTAATGCCATCCGAGATATAAGCTGGCACAGAATAACACTATTTTGAGTGGTATCTCATACTAAAAAAAATCATAAGAATCTCACATCAAACCAGCTTCTAGCATTTTTATCAATAAAATATCAAATGTCTTCTTTCTTGAGAACTTTCAATTGCCTTACCAAATATAAGTACCAGAATATCATGTTATCTCGCTGCTTGCTATCCAAGATATATGTAAGACAGTAGTTAATCACACAGCTTTATATTTTCCCAGTGGGAATTAGCTACTGATCAAAGAAAATATGAATTCTATCAATGACAAGCTGAATGGTGACTTCAATTATAACTAGGAGAATTGGGATGTTCAGAGGGAAAGAGGAAGAAGAAAGGGAGCAGGAGCTCACCAAGCAAATACCAAAGAGTGCCCGGGTATTCTTGCCTCCCGTCAAGTCTATAGCGGATGCATAGTATTTCTTAGCAGTCTGGAGGTTTTCTAACCCACCAAGCGTATAGAGTACCTATCAATGCCAGAGGTCAAGATTATGCTTGAGATTGATAATCAGCTCCCATTCATCTTCAGTATGCAGTACCCTCTTCTTAACAATAGAGAAGGAAAAAGAAAGGGAGTAGAATTTAATCAAAATAAAATAATTGATTATTTGTGGGAAAAAATTGCTTACATCAGCGTAGGCCAAGTGGAAGAGTGGAACAGTAGGTTGAGATATAATTAATTCTTCATAGCAAAATGAAGCTTGTTTGTACCTAACAACAATAAGGCAAAAATTAGAACATAAATCCTTTAAGGTACAAGGAAGACTCCTTCAAGTTCGAAGCCCCTTTTTGAGTAGGTAGAAAAGAATCCTACATTTGCAGGGAGATGTATAATTCTGCAAGTTCTCTCCATGCATCATGATCTGCCATGAATCTGTTAAAATGACAGAAGAATTCAGGTCATTTTTTATAGGATGTAAACTGGGAAAAAAAATTCTCCCTTTCACCCTCAATTTCAGTGAAAAATAAATAATCAGCATCTCTCTCACGTTTCTAGATATTTATTAAGCCATTCAATAGCCACCGAAATGTTGCCCTGTGACTTTGCCATAGCTACCCTCCTCTTGTGGATGATCTGTATCCCCCAAAAAAGAAAAAAGTTAGGTCCTCTTTTCTCAAACATGATTAAGGATAAAAGTGAAAATATTCATCCATCAAAACAATAACATGATGAAAAGTCATTTTTTAAAGCTTTTATCACACAGAACAATCATAAACTAATGGGTTGATCCCTTTTGTTTTGTATATTTTTTCTTCTTATAAGGTTAAGTGAGTTACTTGATCAAGAGGATTATCCTCTAAAAAGCTTGTGTAGGCCTTTTCCGCTTCATCCCATGATCCTTTTGCTTCAAGCAACATTGCCTCCAGCCTACCTGCACTTTGTCCAAAAGTAATAAGCCACCAAAACTCATTCGATTTTAGAGGTAACATACGCCATCACATTCCTAGACAAACTTATATGAGCAGCTTCCAATGAATTCTATAAAACGAATGATTTGTAGATGGAAATGTAATTCATCTAATTATAATATGCACATTTCCCTAGAGGCTAAAAATAAAGCCTAGATGCACAGTGTAGATTTGCATAATTCACTTCATGTACAGGTGGCAGGAATTGGTTGTTGTGGTGGAGAATTTCGGGTGGCACTAGTTCCTGTCATACGCAGTCATCTAGGACATCACAAACTGATGCACTGTAGGCGATGTGTAGATATTATAATTAATAAAATCATGATGTTGTTGCATCAATATGTTTGTTTTTAGCCTACTGGCTGCCCATGGGTAGAACCACAGGAAGAATGTCTGAATAATTAGGTCTCATTTGACCCCAACCAAACGTCCAATTAAGAGTCACATCATTCTGGCTTTGACACGTGTTCAAGTGGCTCCATCTGGGTTCAGGTAGTTCGCATAAATGTTTTCCCCTTAAACTACTCATCAATATGAAATATAAAATCTAAAGAAAATTACACTACTCATAAGTTAATGTTTGAGGAAAAACACAGTCTTACAAAATCTTTCAAGGTATAATCTATTCTGTGCATCAATCAGGAAAGGATAGCTACTTAGCCACACATACCTAGTGGTGGCAAAAGCAAGGGTTTTACAGGTAGCATTATTTATTCTAAGTATCTCTTTTCCATACAAAGCTAGACACAGAAAGATACATCATTGACATAGACAAATCCAACTTACCAACCCGTTTACTCTCAGGGAATCTCTTCTGGAGAACTTTTATACAGTCCTGAAAAAGGAGTTACTTTTTGTCAACTGAAAGGCATAACATCTCAAGGGTAGTTACTCATCATATATGTAGTAAAATGATGCAGAAGAATTAGTATTCAAGAGCCACAAAAACAGAGAACTGAGAAAACATTTGACAACAGTCCACTCTGCAGGTTCAGAAATCATATCATTACAAGAATTACAACAATATATTTGAAGGCAAACTTACACAAGAATCAGGATACATTCACACAAAAGGCCTTAAACAAGCTTATAATTCCCTTTAGAATTGGTAAGACCCATCTTACACACCAGCAGAACTCCAGAATAGAAATGAAGAGGGAAGAACCAGAAAAGAAACAAGATTTCTAAATTAATCCTTGCATAAGATTCCTAAACTAGCATTATACAATGGGGAAATTTGTACCAAAATATACACTTAAACATAAAAAGATAGGATATGACAAATTATTGAAAACATTATGACTTACAAAAATATCAAATCAACTTAAAACAATGATAGAGCCTTCACTACCTTGGCAACATCAAGATGTTGGCAATCCATAGCTGCAACTGCAACCTGCTCATACAAAGTCCATTCTGCATCAAGGAGCAATTATTTATTTGCTAAAAGTTATATTAGATAAGATAAGGGTTGTGAGAGAAGGAATAATTAAATTAATCTACCATCAGAAAATGCAATATGTAGCTCGAAAAATTGTCATGATCACCGCAATTAAACAAGTTTTTAGATAGCTCAAGTATATGTGAAGATGGCTCACTTCTCAAGAATGTTCGTGTGACTATTGGGAGGGTGAAGTCACAGAATCAACTAAGTTTCTCTTCACAAAAAGTTATGAGGGGGCAAAATAGTTCAAATTGCTGATGCATATAAAACAACAAAAATTCTTCAATGCTCTTGATTCATCATTATTATCCCAGCCATAGGAACCAACTTGGCACAAATCTTAATGACGTAGGAAATTCTTGATTTGTCCCTTTGACTTTCATTATGTTGGAAGAAAATTTAGTATAGTGGAGAGACAATTCATTTGTTCCCTTTTGATAACAGTTGATAGCATGCAACTCTCTCCACATAAGACATAACTTATCAGTTTAAGAAAAATTCTTGACAGAAGTATCCTCTCAGAAAGATATCCCAACGTTTTTTACTTGCAGTAACCTCTAAAACACTATTTTAACTCTCCTGGCTCACAATTAACAACTAAAAACAGAAACCAGAAACTCAATTTCTACATTCCAACAGAGGAAATCAAGAATACAAGGTGGTTGTATACAAACAATACCCAAGCACATAATCAAACCATTTAAGAATGACAGCAGGACCAATAACATATAAACTAGGTCTGTGAGAACTTAAATCACACGGATACGGATCGGAAAAGGGGTAAAACTAGATCACACTGACCATCTGGGCCAAGACTGGATCGCTTTTTGGGGTCGTTCAATATGGACAAGCCATGCCTCAACACTTTTTCCGAACGCCGAAGCTTGAGTTTCCTAACGAGACACAGGTACTCCCAGGCTCCTCCGCCCCCATTATCGACCTGGTTTTCGAGCCTGTTCAACTGAGTATCCTCTGTTTTGGTGACCATCTCTACCAGATCAAAGATACAAACTTGGAACGGTATAACTCGGTCTCTCCAGTCCTGGGTCTGTGGGAGTGGTCAGGCTTCGGATCTTCCGATTGACTCTATAAAGCATAAACGCATTTGTCTTGTAGCGTTCGCTCGCTCAGAAACTAAAGCCAGAGACAGCGCGACAAGAACGAGAGAGGCACATAACTCAAAAGCCTAATCCGAGTGAAAATGGATTTCAGCTTTTATTTATTTGTTTGTTTGTTTATTTTGATTAAAAACAGCCCAACGATTCAACACAAACAAGGAGAAAGGGATGTGAGGAGACCGACATCTACAAATAAATAAAGCCCAGTTTCTACAAAATCTTGGGCCGATTTGCTTCTCAGGTATTTTCTCTTCAAAAACAAGGAGTAGGTTTTTTTGGTCGAAGTAGTCTAAGAGTGTGTTTAGAATTATGTTTGGAGGTATCGTTTTGACCAGTGGAAAACGACTTCTCTATCTCTTGCTAGAAGGACAACTTTAATTAGTTATGTGACCTCTGCTATCTCTAGTTACGCAATGCAAACTTGTCACTCATAGTGTCTTCTTGTGAGACACTCGACCGACACAATAGAAGTTTCTTATGGGGCACTACAGATGATCATAAGAAGGTCTCTCTTGTGGCATGGGATGTGGTCTGTAAGCCCAAAGCTAAAGGGGGTCTTGGTTTGAGACACACCAAGCTACAGAACCAGGCGCACCTTATGAAACTTGGATGGAAGCCTGCTCATTGTCGTGACGAGTTTTGGGTACGAGTGATGCACGATAAATATAAATGTGGAAATGACATTTTGCCTAAGATAGAGATAGGTCAATCTGGGTCTAATGTTTGGTCAGCGATTAAGAAGACGTGGAGGAAAGTGGACGAGGGGGCTGAAGTCATTTCTAATGAGGGAGCAATAAGATGAAAACATGATCGGAGTGGGATTTTCACTGTGAAGTCAGCTTATAATCTCCTCTCAAGTATTGATCTTGATTTTGATCCCTTTTAGGAAAAGATTTGGAAACTTCGTATACCCCAAGGGTGCTAAACGACAATGTGGCTTGTGACAAGGAAGAGTCTCCTAACGAATGTCATACGGTGTAAACACGAACTCGCTAAAGATGATGCTTGCCTGGTTTGCAAATGAGACAGTAAAGGCTCTCTGCACCTCTTCCATGACCATCATTAGACTAGGTTTCCATGGAGTAAGATCATTCATTGATCAAGATGGAAAAAGTTCTTTGATGCAACAATGACGTTCCATGAATGGCTATGCTGGAATCTCATAGATCGGGCAATTAATGGTAGTGAGTGGAATGACCTTTTCTCCATCATTTGTTGGTGGCTTTGGCGCAAGCGAAACCTATTTGTTTTCGAAGGTAAGTTGGTGAATAACAAAGTCATCGTGGCAAACTCTTCTGCACTGTTATTTAACCTTCAACAAACTCGAAAGAAACTTTCAAGCATTCTTATTTCAGGAGCTAGTTTACACACTGTTGAGTGTGGGTGGAAACCTCCAGATCGTGGGTGGACCAAGCTGAATGTTGACGGAGCGTCTTCTACTATTCACTGTACAGCTGCATGTGGAAGCCTCCTTTGAGATGCTGATGGCTAGTTCCTTCAAGGTTTTATCCATAAACTCGATGATGGGGATGCCCTTCACGCTGAACTATGGGCGTGTTTACATGGACTCAAACTCACGTGGAATGCTGGCTCTCGTCGAATTATTTTTGAATCTAATTCCAATACTGCTTTGGACCTTCTTGCTAAGGAACTGGATGAACATCAAACTGACTTTGGAGGTCTCAAAGAAATCCAGTGAATGCTTTGCTGGAGATGGGAAGTAACACTTCAATTTGTTAACAGGGATAATAACAGAGCTGCTGATTTATTGGCGAAGGAGGGACTAAAGGCTCTATCTAGATTCCATTTTCTTGCTTTTGCTCTTGATGCTTTACTACCAATTTTAGACTTTGATCATTCTACATTGCATGGTCGTAGTAGGCTAATGTAAGGATTCTCTTTTGATATTAAAAAAAAAGAATTATATTTGAATCTAATTCCAATACTGCTTTGGACCTTCTTGCTAAGGAACTGGATGAACATCAAACTGACTTTGGAGGTCTCAAAGAAATCCAGTGAATGCTTTGCTGGAGATGGGAAGTAACACTTCAATTTGTTAACAGGGATAATAACAGAGCTGCTGATTTATTGGCGAAGGAGGGACTAAAGGCTCTATCTAGATTCCGTTTTCTTGCTTTTGCTCCTGATGCTTTACTACCAATTTTAGACTTTGATCATTCTACATTGCATGGTCGTAGTAGGCTAATGTAAGGATTCTCTTTTGATATTAAAAAAAAAAGAATTATATTTGGATGTGCCCTGGTCCTAGTGAGTCCCCGGGATCCAACTTGTCTAAACTTTTGTTATCATTGATTTTAGAATTACATTTGGAAGTCCAAACTGACTTCCCAATTGGTAAAATGAGCTTTTTGGATTGAGGGTGTGTTTGGGACCACTTTTTTGTAATTTGACTTCTAAGAGCAAATGGATTTCTAAGGAGAAGCTCCATATTTTTGCTTTCACTCTTACAGTAAAAAAGGTTGTTAGAACATTAATTACATTTTAAAATTTTCACCTACCTACTTCCTTCTTTCTGCAAGCGCTTTGTCTCTACTTGTGGGTGAAAAAAGAGGAAGAAGAACATAAGTCAGCATCTTCCACCATCTTCCTTTATCTTTTGCTGTCTCCCTATTCTGGTTTTTGTTTAGGAGTCGTTGTTTGTTAGCTGATATTTGTTTTTGGGGTCTCCATTCACTGCAAGTCAGGTGTGTGCCCTACTTTTTTAGGTAGTTCATCTGTTACAAGTGGTGGTCATGATTCGTTCTCTTGTCACCGACAGTCTCCTTTTCTCCCAATCTACTACGCTAATAGTCATCTTTGTTCGCTTAGTAAGATATCAAGTTTTTTTTTAAACCTAGATTTGTTCCTATTTTTGCCTCTTCTTAATTGCTGTTGGATTGAGTGATGAGAAAACGCATAGTTTTCTACTATGGATTTCTATTTTCAGCTATTTTTTTTCCTGATTTGCAGATATGAGCATTATCACCTTTTATACTTCAAATGATGACTGGGATTTCAAAAAGCATAACAAAGTCTTCAATTATTATTATTATTCAAGTTTGAAGTGCAATATAGAAATGGCTTTTGGGGTGTGGAAGAATAAGTTTGGAATTTTAGACAAGATGCCCAAATACAACTATAAAACTCAAGTCTAAATAGTTTGTATGACAATAGCTATACATAATTTTATCAGAAGAAATTTTGGAATTGATAGAGATTTCATACAAGCTCAATTTGAAAATATAATTCAAGAAGACAGTACTCCATTTGTTACTTATTATAAGAGATATTTGATACTTATGGCATATTTCTATATATAAGAGATACTTAAGAGTTGTCTATACTTTTTTTTGTGTTGATTTTCTATTTTACCCATATTTATTTTGTCCCCAACTCACACTCTCTTCCTCTCTCACTTCTCTTTCTTTTAATAATTTAATTGTTCTCTCTCCTTATTAATAAAGGTATTTTTTTAAAAAAATTATACTTTTTATACATTGATTGTTCTTGATTAATTTTAACTGTTTCTCTGATCAATGTAATTCGGTTATTCGTATCTTATAATAAAGAACGGAGGGAGTAATTATCAGGTTGGCGGGGCATCATCATCAAATTTACCTAGATCAAGACAAGTGGATTGTGTTCATTACACAATAAGAGACCAAATTGTACGGAGTATGGCATCCAATTAGTCATGTAATGTTATCTAGTTTAAAAATACAACGCTTGTATGATTTCTAATTTATATATATTTTTATCCATTAAATATATTTAATTAAGTATTTTTTTTTTAATTTCTTCCTAATAAGCTGATTTATTTTATTTTAAATATTTTTTTATGATCCCCACATTATAATACTATTTAATAAAATTTATATCTTTTTTAGTCATTTTGTGTTTAAACCCATTTTTATATTATTTAGGGAAAATCACTAACAGGTCCCACAGAAAGCAATTTATTACTCTGAGGTCCCACGAAATGTCAAAATCGCTGATAGGTCCCAAAGGACCTCAGAGTAATATTTTCATTTTGTAAAATGATATTACTGCCCCTCATATTCCAGATTCACATTTGCTCTGTCATTATGATTTACAACCTCAGCAGCGACTATTAACAACCTAATGAGAGGGCGTTAGCAACCCTAGCAGTATCTGTTAACAACTTACTTTATAGAATTATATAACCTCTACATAAGAGTAAATTATAACCAAATAATATAATACAACAACTTTAACACTAAAATGGGAAGCTTTTTGATATCATTAAGAATTTTAACTAGATCCAATAGGATTATAGTAATATTTTAATGCGAAGATCCATTTACAACCTTAACAGTGACTATTAACAACCGAATGAGAGGGCATTAACAACCTAAGCAGTATCAGTTAACAACTTATTTTATAAAATATATAACCTCCGCATAAGAGTAAATTATAACCAAATAGTATAATACAACAACTTTAATACTAAAATGGGAAGCTTTTTGATATCATTAAGAATTTTAACTAAACCCAATAGGATTATAGCAACATTTTAATGCGAAGATCCATTTACAACCTCAATGGTGAGTATTAATAACCCAAAGAGAGCTGTTGACAATCTAGGCAGTATCTATTAACAATTGACTTTATAGGATAATATAACCTCTAACAACTATATAAGATTAACTTTAAGACTATTTAGTTATAGTTTAGTTAGTTATAGTTAGAAGTTATATTATCCGATAAAGTTAGTTGTTAACAGACATTGCTAAGGTTGTTAACAATTCTCCTTAGGTTATTAATACTTACTGTTGAGGTTGTAAATGGATTTTCGCATTAAAATATTGCTATAATCCTATTGGGTTTGGTTAAAATTCTTAATGATATCAAAAAGCTTCCCATTTTAATGTTAAAGTTGTTGTATTATACTATTTGGTTATAATTTACTCTTATGCAGAGGTTATATAATTCTATAAAGTAAGTTGTTAACGGCTACTGCTTAGGTTGTTAATGCCCTCTCATTCGGTTGTTAATAATCGATGTTGAGATTGTAAATGGATATTCGCATTAAATATTACTATAATCCTATTGGATCTAGTTAAAATTCTTAATGATATCAAAAAGCTTCCCATTTTAGTGTTAAAGTTGTTGTATTATATTATTTGGTTATAATTTACTCTTATGTAGAGGTTATATAATTCTATAAAGTAAGTTGTTAACGGATATTGCTAGGGTTGTTAACGCCCTCTCATTAGGTTGTTAATAGTCGCTGCTGAGGTTGTAAATCATAATGACAGAGCAAATGTGAATTTGGAATATGAGGGGCAGTAATGTCATTTTACAAAACGAAAATATTACTCTGAAGTCCCTTGGGACCTGTTAGTGATTTTGACATTTCGTGAGACCTCGGAGTAATAAATTGCCTTATGTGGGACCTGTTAGTGATTTTCCCTATTATTTATCGAAACAAGTCTCGGCTTCTTAAACTGATTTTTTTAACAAAAACCAATCCAAACATAAATTATATCACTCAAACTAACTTCTACCTAATCTAACTTTTACAAAAGTCATATTGAAAAAAAATAACTTCTTTCACCGCTAATCCAAATATACCATAAGTTTATATATTTTATGTCCTTATTTTCAATTAAGTCAGGACAAGTTTTCTCACAGAAAAAAATGTCATTTCTTTAGATATTACTAAAGTATTGCTATAAATAATTTTAACTTATTTTTCACTTTGAAGTATTTTTTTTATTTGACTGGAAATCAATAAATTATATCTTTTTCACAGATTTAGATTTTTTTAATGACATACAATGACCTTCCGTGAGTTTAACTAAAATTATAGAAGCATCTTTCTATGTTCAAAACACGCACTTTAAATAAACTTTTGAAATCATGCAAAATATTTCATTAAATATTTTAAAATATTTGATCTCAGTAATTAAACTATGCTAAAAAAAACTTATATAAGTTTTAAAAATAAAAATGAGGTATATGTAATTAAAATAAAATAAAATGCAAATAATTTTATTTTATTTAATGTTTGTTTGTTTTACGCATAAAGCCCTAGCAGCTTCTAACCATTGCCCAACACTTATCACTGTCGCTCCCCTCTGTTTTGCTCATAAAATTATAAATAGAAAGAATTACAATGAGGTTTCAAGTAAGAAAAACAATTAAAAAAAAGTTTCAACCCCATTCTTACCATAAGATTTGTCATTATAGACTGTTGAAGTTGTTATTAAGATTTTTTTGGTAATTATTTTTTTTTGTGGGACTTGATTGTAATTCTCCTTTATAAATATCAAATAAACCCGCCTTTTTTAAAACGTAAAACGGTGCGTAATGGAGGGAAGTCGTGGCCAGTGGCAAGCCGAACGCAGCGGCATATAGCGGCAAGGAGCGTGACGTCGATCTTGTTGACCATAAAACCCTACTTATTTGGGTCCATCACGCCAGTCACTGAGACAACGGTCACCAAATTTCATGAAACTGTGATGGCCGTCAAAGCCCTCGACGAGTCAGATGTTGGCATCTCCTGCTACATTTCCAACCTTCCTGGTTTCCGTGGAATTTTAAAGCAAAGGTATTCAGTTTAGTAGCTTTTTTCCGGCCCTTCTCACTGTCCATGCTCTGTCTTGTTAAATAAATTATGCCAGAACAAAATGATTTTGGATATGATATTCCTCATAAAGTGCATGCTTGAAGTGCTTGTTTGTCTTTCCAAACCTTTGTTAGCGCTTCGTCCCGCTTGACTCAAACAGCTCGAATCATGTGGGCCTTTTCATATTTCCGGGTTTCCCAAAAAAAACAACAACTGCACTTGAAGTTGAGATATCTTTTAGTTGCGGTAAAAATTAGAACCATACCCTGTATACAATAGAAACGTTGAGGGACCCCGGCACCTAAAAAATTGATACTCGAGTCTTTGACATTGGCTATAAGGATCTGAGCTCTGAGGCAGCATATATAATAAGACAATCCATCCAAGTTCTGATAAAATACAATGATATGTTTTTATGTTTATCTTGATTGAACTATTTTATCTTCCAAAGTGATCTACGTGTTCCTCAAAATTAGTTTGCAAGCATTTTCTCTTTTTTCTTTTCTATTTCTTTCCCCATTTTTTGTGGCCAACATCCCAGCTAATCGTTATGCACAAATAACGTTGACTGATATAACAGTTCCATGTTGTGAGTCAAGGTATTATTACTTCATAGTGTCTTGTTTATGCTGTATTAATTGTGTTCTGGTTGAAATTTGATTCAGGTATTCTGATTTTATTGTAAATGAAGTAGACAGAGAAGGAAATGTTGTTCAATTGTCCTCGTTTGATGTCCCTGAGGAGGTACTTAGTTGTTGAAGACGTAATTATTTAGCATAATTTATAAATTGAAGTTTCGTATCTTTTTGACTTTTGGTATCCTTTTCAGAGCGTTGAAGAAAAACGAGAGCAGACAACTGAGGCTACAAATATAAGTTATGCATCTCTAATTGAGTCATTTAAATCTCTTGCCGGTGATGCTGATGTAGAGCGTTTGGAAGAGTTTCTGAATGAATTAAGTTCCAGTTGCGGAGACAGTGTTTCTCCCATTGTTCTATCCCCAGATTCTGACAAATCACATAGAACGGTGGGTTGAAGTTTTGTCGCATTAGTCTCATTCATCTTAGGGCATACGCGGTATTTTTTTATTCCTTCCTTGATTTTCTCTCTGCACAAAAAAGGGGTATTCTCACCCTCTGTTACACATGAGCGAAACATTTGGCGAGTTACTAATAATAGATAATGCTTTTTTCAGAGGCAGGATCTTTAGTATCTGTAGTGATATCATTGCAATGGATATTAAAATTTAATACAAAAAAATTGTTGCTTTGAGACTGAAAAAACTGGTTACTTAATCGGATCCTTTTGATTCCTGCCTTATTTGTTTAATTTATTCTTTTATGCTGCAATTATAACTTTTGATCAGTTTGAGTTCAGTCTACAGTTTCTTACCAAGCAAAGACATCATTAATTCGTACTCCTCAAAATTTTCAGGCAATGCATAATTTCTTCAGAGAGAACTTCAAGTTTCTTGTCACTGACACTATTGATGGACCAGATGCTTCATCAAAATGTATCCGTGTGAGAGTGGATTCAGATGGACCTAGGAACAAAGGTAGAAACTCCAGGAAACGCAAAGATAGAGATTACAAGCCTTTTGATAGCAGAGGTTCGGAAAATTGGCCAGCAAATGTTGGCAAATTCCTCAGGTAAGCTGACCATCCGTTTTTCTATGAACTAGCCTATGCTCACTGTCTTCCATTTGATTATTATTTTTACATCTCTTTATGTTGTACTAGGAATTTAATTTTCATCCTTAAACGGATTAATGGATTCACAATATCACTTTCTCTGAGAATGATATTGGTATCTTATTAAATATTGATTATATGATATACGATGGATTGGTTTAATGAAACACAGGGATGATTAGCAATGAACACGATCTTTTAATTTAAAGGAGGAATGCATGTTACCGAAGGACACAGGGACATATATATTAGCTGAGTTAGGCAGGATTTCTGGATGAGATTCATATATTCTATCCTCGCCTTTAGGTTACCTGTTAATGTGGCTTGTAGAATTGGAATCAGAGAGTGTATAGAGGCCAGAAAGGAGGTTATCTGTCGATGTTTTAAACTCGAACACCTGTTGATGTAATTACACAAATTGTCCTTGAGCACTGACAGTATCGTGGGGCTTCAATCTGGCACAGTCTGGTTAAGTAGGAGATGCATTCATTTATTCAATATGAGAGAGTACAGAAAGTTCAGTTTAGTCAACAGGATCTTTTTGGTGGGTGCCTAACTGCCTATATGCTATAGTGCAGAAGACAATGACCACTTCTGGAGGATATAGATGTCAGCATGTTTGGGGCTATATAGAGTATTTATCGAATTCATTCATGATATTATGAGACTGATAATCATTCATCATTGCTTTGATCTTTGTTTGTAAGGTCTCCCCCTTCTCTATTAAATCCTGTTGTTTTAAGTTGTTCATGGCTGTATGCTGAATGTTTTCATTAATATGATCACTAGGTTTCATCTTTATAAGGAGAATAAAGATACACAGGAAGCTCTGGGGGTGATTGGGAAGATGCTTGGCACACAGGTGAGTGTTCTTTGTACTGTGACATGGTCCTTAGGCGTTTTTCATGACGAGAATTGGAGGGTTTTGTTTGCTGATAATTTATTGGGCTAGAATGATTTCTTTTCATTCAGAAATGACAAAGGGAACATGTTTATAATTGATCCTGCATTTTCCCAATTTTTTATATTTGGTAAAGAAGTTCTGTAGTCTTGTTATTCAAGTGCATACATTTGATGTGCACTTTCACTTTTAAGAAAATTGTTTTTTTTAATGTCTTGCTTGCTACTCCCATCTCCATTAAAAATATATGAATAACAACTAACAACAAGTATTATTCCATTAGATGAGGTCAGTTATATGGATCGCATGGTTGCTTGGATAAAAACTAACAATTAAGTCAAATTCACATGATTTCTTGAAAATCTAATTGAGTGGTTCTCACGCTAGCTGATTGGTATTTTTGCTGACAGCCAAAATCATTTGGGTTTGCTGGTACAAAGGACAAACGCGCTGTTTCAACACAAAGGGTAATTTATTTTCAGATTCTTGCCTATTTTTGCATTAGAGAATGATTTCTTAATTTACCTATATGCATGGTCTTATCTTATGGAAATTCTAAAAGAAATCTTGTTGGTCATTTGTGGATGGATTCTCTTTGGTTTAATTATTGTTTTGTTTCCAGATTACTGTTTTTAAGCAGCGGGCAAGTAGACTAGCTTCCCTTAATGACAGGTTGATTGGTATCAAAGTTGGTGACTTCTGGTAGGATGAACAAACTTTTTTGTATTTGATGTCCCTGGTTGGTTGTTCTTCAAGTCATGATTGTGCTATAAATGAATTATTGCCCAGCTATGTTAAAGAAGGACTTCTTCTTGGCCAGCTATTTGGGAACCGATTTACAATCACATTACGGTGAGGGTGTTTTCTCTGTGAAATACATTTTTTACTGTTTATTACTACCTTTAACGCTTGGTGTTATATGATGCTCAAGATAAGTGAACAGCCGTGATATTTGTGCCATTCCTCTGACTCATTCTCAGAGGAATTATTGCAGATTCTGAAGATACCATAAAAGCATCTGCAGATGCTTTAGGAAAGCATGGCTTCATCAACTATTTTGGTTTACAAGTATTTCTTCAGCCACCCTCTTTTATTGTTCCCTTATTCTTGGATTAGTTTTTTTATTTATTACAACACTGATTTTTATGATTACATTCAAGAGTTCTTGTATGAGATTAAATTCTCTAAATTAATATTCAGGATAAAAACTGTTCATTGTCATAGTGGTTAATATATGACAACGTTTTTAAAGATCCGTTGGCCAAAGGATTGATTAAAGTTTAGTTATTATTGTTTGTTGAAATTCTCCATTTTCCACTCTTTTTCCCCCTCCGTGTTTGGACCTATGTGCATATTGCAGGTAAACTGCTTGTTTACTTTCATTCGCCAATAAGATCTGCTTATGGAGAAACTATTCATTTTTGCTTTATGAAGAAACTCATGTGCATACATTTGATCTGATCAGCGTTTTGGCAGCGGTTCTGTTCCAACTCACCTTATTGGGGCTGCATTACTTAGAGGGGAATGGAAGCTTGCTGTAGATATGATTCTTGATCCACGGGATGGAGATATCCTTTTCCGATTGAATCAAAATTATCTGATCTTTTCGTTTTTTTTTTCAAATTTATAATGGATGATATCATGTTCAGTTATTTTGTTGAGTGCTGATACATAACATCAGAATACTGATTTTCTTTGTTTTCATAACATTGTTTTTTGAATACAAAGAAATGCAATAACCAAGGCACGTGAGTATTATAAGAACAGTAATGATGTTGAAGGGACATTGAAGCAGTTACCTCGACATATGGTTGCTGAAAGGGCTGTGGTGAGCTTTAGTGAAAATTACTCTTGCATGAGTTTCTTTCTGCTTGGACATTAGTATCTGAATGTGGTTGCAAATTATAATCATCATGTGCCTTTTTCACTGGACCTGTTGCAGCTGCAAAGTTTGAAGAAGGCTCCTGGAAATTACTTGCAGGCTTTGAAAGCTATACCCCGGACATTGAGAATGATGTGAGCCATTTATAGACAAATATGTTGGAAGTGTAGTAAATTTTAAATTACACTGTTATTTATATAGAGATATGTTGGAGTCTTTGTATAAATACACCAGAGAATTTGTTTCCTATTAATTTATGGCATCTTCTGGTGTCATATAAGTCAATCCATTCAGTTTTTGGACACTGAGCAGTGTGGGATGCTTCTGTTTAAATCTTGCTTGAATAATCCTTCTTTTTGTCAGATTCTGCTCCCTTTTGTAATTGATCCTACAACCGGAATGTTCTTTCTACTGAGATGGAAAGGTCAACATGAACGCAAACTGATCTTAATCTGAACGTAAGATAAATGCTAAAAGAAATGCATGTCGAAGCTTAAATTTGGGCTATTTATTCAGTCCATTCACATATTCTCTCTTATATGTGTCATGTACAAACGTGGTTTAATAATGCAGATGAAAGGCGTAAGGAATGAGAAATTGTTTATTTTAAACTTGTTATTGATAGCTCTATTGCTGCATTTTCAGGTATGTGCATAGTTACCAAAGCTATTTGTGGAATCATGCTGCAACTACAAGGGTGCAAAAATATGGTAATTTGTGAACTGTGGCAACTGCATATAATCTCCATCCTTCAACGTTGTCATAAAGCTGAAATCCCCTGCGCCACGAGGTTCAGATTTTCCTATATTTGTGATTTACTGTTTGGCAGGTACTGAACAAGTTGTAGTAGGAGACTTGGTGTATCGCAAAGATAATGCTGCCGGAAATGGAACAGGGTTTGTCAGTCGTGACTGTTCTGTTAGCTGTAACAATGGAGAAAATTCCTCTAACGAAGATGAAGAAATGGATGTTCATGAAGAACGCAATAGCCACGTCAAGGTTAGTGAGTTATTTTCTTGATTTTGATCCATCAATAGGTACCTCTTGGAGGGGCAACGTCTCAATAGCTGCGCTCAAGGCACTTCACATAACTTCCTTACTATTAAGAACCCTCATGGGAATCCTCTCTTAAAAGCTAACTATTGATATAGAAGGACCAACCCTCTTAAATACCTTATAGAACATCTCATATTACTCCGTACGGGGCTTAGGCACCCCATACCTACCACCTAAGTCTTCATTATGATTAAAGATATAATTTTTCTCAACTTTTAACGGTTTGTGAGCCCTGTAACTTGTAAGGAAACTTACTCAAGAGTAGTATTTATAACGTCTCATGGTAGGTCAACGGTTGTGTTGACATTTCATGGCAGGTTATGACTGCTGAAGACCTTGAGGCAGGATGTTATACTATCGATGATGTCATCCTTCCAATGCCTGGGTAAGTTAGATCAATAATGCTGGGTAGCTGCTTTTGTTTTCATATTACTTAGATCCTTTCAATCAAATTTGCGTTTCTTGTTCTCTAATTTGAGTCTGACATATCTTTGTTGATGATTCTGCAGTTCACGGGTAGTTTATCCAACAAATGATGTTGCCCAAGTTTATCATGATTGGGCGAAGAAGGTATTTACATGTTGCCTCCTCATATATGTACTTGACTCTGGCTGGGGATGACCAAAATACCTGTGTCAAAATGGTACTTGCCTAATTTAGCTTGTTTGGGTCTGGGGATAGAAAAACGGAACTTGGTTTGGGTTTGAGGACAGTGGATCCGCCCTGACTCAATACTGCGCTATATTGCTTATTAAGCTTGATAATTATTTGTTTCTTTTTGGATGAATAGTTCGTCCATATGACCTGTCATGTGCATATTCCAGTGTAAGGTGCGATAGGATAGATTTTGTTGTTCTGGACTTGATGTAAGGTGTCAAGCTGAAGATCCCTGTAATAGCAATGACGGAAGATTCCTAGGATCAGAGGATGTGGCTATAAATGAATCAGTGAGAGTGAAGATTGTATAACTAATTGCTTCTTCAGCAGCCTATGATAATGCTATCAATTCAAATGTCAAAGCATTCTCAAGTGTTGAAATTAACACAAAAGTATTTGCAATCGGAATCTGCATGCATGCATTTTGTCCTCCTAGAGCCACAGATGCACAAAGAACCCCCCTCCCCCCTCCTTTCTCCTCCTGTTTCGTTCTGAGAGCATGATCAATTAGTATGACTACTGATTCATGTGTGGTTTATTCTTTTTTCTGGAAGCATCTGACTCTTGGTACTCCATGAATAGTTATTATATATATTAATAGCCTTTTTATTTATACTTGTCAGGATGCAATCAGCCTAACAGAATGTGTCCACAATGTCAAGTGAGATACGAATAATCTCAACTATAATTACCTTTTTTCCGCTGTTTGATCTCACTTACATTTATTTCTTCTTCTTGGGGTTAGGGAATTCTCGATAACCAATATGACTGGAAGTTACAGGAGGGTTTTTCAGAAACCAATAAATTTTGAATGGTACATAATCTTACCCTCCATCAAATATGCATTATTTTTACCCAATGTTGTTCCAGACTAGTTCGCTTCTTGAATAGTGTCTCTGAACGTCGTCTTCTGCAGGGAATTACTTACATATACTGATCGTAGCAAACCATTGGCAGAGACAGACTTGGACAAAATGGGGAAGACCAGACCTATAGACGATTTCAAACAAGTGAATGCCCCCCGTTGGGAGAAGGAAGAAAATCTTGATTGCATTAGACAACCAGAAAGTTCTGGTGATGATGCTAAGCTTGAGATTGCAAATGATGAGACGCCTGGTGATGAAGTAGAGTTGTTGCAAGATGAATCCATTTGCACCTCTAATTCACAGGATTCACAAATTGCTCTCAAATTAAGCTTTACTCTTCCTTCTTCTTGTTATGCAACTATGGCCATAAGAGAGCTTCTGAAGACCTCAACATCTGTGAGTACTCAATTTGAATGTCTCGCACGTATTAATGTTGTTAGTTGCTAGATTCTAGAAGATATGCATACTACCTCTGGTACTAAATATAAGATCTGGTTTGCAGCTAGTTTGCAGTGCAAATTAGATCTTATATTTATGACTGGAAGTAGTATTTATTCTGAGGTTATTCATTTTGTGATTCGTGTTTCTGTTTCATGTTATACGCTAATCTAATTTTTCATCCTATATTTCAGAGATTTCACCGCCATCCCCTTTATCCTTTTACCTTTTATATATCCACTTATTGTCAAGATTCAATAACATAGTTGTTTCCCAACGACAACAGTTAATATAAAGCATAAACTTGTCAAATAATAGTAATATGTTCCCCAGTGATTGTATTTGCACTAATATAAAAGTGGAAGCAACTTGATTTCGACCCTGATGCCCTGAGCACTTGTGGCACAGTTGAAACTCGTTTGTTTGTTTTAAATTAGAGGCTATGGCAAGCACTGAGAGATGCGAGACCCTTGGAGCATTCGACCCCCTAAACATGTCTGTCAATAACAGATTCCTACATTGAGTTGAAACTCGTTTAGGAATAGCGAATTAACAAACTTCCTGATGGCAGCCAAATAATGCATTTCTCATTTTGTGACTCTAGTATGCGGTTTGCTGTGAATATTTTTCTGTTGTTTCAGGTTGCATATCACAAGACATTAAACCAGTAAGCATCGTATAGGAGGATGGTTTTCTACCGGAGAGGGTCAAGTAGAGCGGGAGAGAAACGCCAGTAAGCTAAGGTTCACCACGTGTCACGAACGAAAGAGGGTTTTGGTTTGCTTGAACCGGCCACCATGCTACGGATGGAAAGAGAGATTCGTGAGGTGGACTGTATTTTGGTCCCTTATTTCGGTGTGAAAAGAAATCAAATCGTACTGACAATGCCTGGAATTGGTTTAAAGTGAAAACGGAAAGGAGATAGGAATTAGAATTACAATTAATAACAATAAAGGAATGTAATTGAGTTTTGGAAATATGCTTGTTAGTAGTGAGGCAAAGTTTTGTGCCTATTTATTGATTAGGGATGCTTAAGATTGCTAACCTTTGTTCAGCCGCCACTTTGCTCTGAAATGATGGATGAAGGAAGATGTCTCGATTTGTTTAGTAGCTTGTCATTTATTTTATTAATGCTTAGGCTCTCATTCGCACGTGCGCACATATACTTGCTAGCAGGTTTGGACCGGTATACCCTTATCCATTTTTTTTCAAAGATTAAAAAAAAAAAAAACAAGCCAGCAATGCTGATGGATCTGAAACACTGACCACCATTTGGGCAGGTCAGATTGGCCGGCCATTTATTACGAACGAAAACCAGCCAGTTTCACGCAAAAAAGGGGGGGGGGAGGAGTGATGGATCTAAACATGAACCCCAACACGATGCGAGGCAGCCAGCTTCATGTGTCCGCATCCGTAATATTCATCCACCACCGAAGACTTTGAATTGAAATGTTTAATTTGGGAGCAAATCCTGTTTTCTGGCTGAGACCTCGATTGAATGCTCGGGCCTCTTTGGCACGGAAGGGATGGAGGCGGCGGTCACCGGAAGAGACGGGGCTCCGATGGATTTTGGGAAGCATTTCAGTTCCAATAGATTAAAATTATCTTTGGTTTGGTTTTCTTCCTGTAAAACCGGTTCAGGTTCAATTTTGGACGCCTCAACCAAACCTAGCGAGACCTGTTTGAAATTTGTTAATGTATTTATGATTTATTATGGTTACGTATTTTTTTTTCATTTAAAAAAACGAAAATATCATTAACCAAACAAAGCAACAACTGAAATTAAATTAATCTGTGTCTAAAAAAAATTCGCAGTCCAAAAATAATTGCTTTCAATTAGATAAGGATCTCCACACCCAATGGACAGGACATACCCGCTTAACTTTGTTTAAAATTCAAGTTTATAATAACATGGTATCAGATGGAAGATCGACAATTTTTAAAAATAACATTAAATAGGCCAAAACTTATCATTTGAGCGCGGTCCGAGTCGACCTAAAATCGAATCATTTTGAATGCTACCTGTGTCAAGGAATTTTAATTTTCAACGCTTTCTTTGAAAAAGAAATAAATTATTTCGCAGATTGGAAACACGATCTATAAATAGGAACTTATTCAACGCAAACAACTGTTATGATAAGCAAGTTTGAAGAAAATATTTAAACTTCAAAGCAAGATTTGCTCGCTCGCGCGCGCGCACACCCACATATTGTTATAAATTGAATAACATAGTATAATGATTTAAATTTACAACTTTTTTTTTTTTTGGATTACTCCATCCGGTATCCCAGGGAAATAGGCGTCTTTCAGCCGTGACAACGTCCCCAGACTAATCCGGATTCGGGGGCTTGCAAGGATCCATACGGACGGTGCCCCTGCCCCTTAGAGTGCTGCGTTCTCACGTCTCGAACCCGAGATCCGTGGTTAAGCTAGGACGACCCCAGCCAGTCGACCTAAGCCCGCGGGGTTAAATTTACAACTTTAATAGTGGAAGAAAGAAGTCTGTATCAGGGCTAAACGTGTTTTGACCAGCTCTTAAGTTTGAGGATAAGTATGAAATGAAGATGAACGGGGAGGGATGAGCACTGATAAATATGGGAAGGCCAGGGTAGGGAAAGCTTGGAATCTGTGAGCAGCTGAATATATGGCCTATGAAAATGAAACATCTCTTTCCACAACTTATTGCAGGCTGCGTCAAAGTTCGTTGTGCCATTAACAGTCATACCCTACCATTTCCTTCAGTCCAGCGGAGCCCAACTGTCTTGTTATTAATATTATCACGATGGCTTGGTCTTTAAATATCTTTCCTTCAGGTTCATTATAGTTAGCTAGTGGGCAAGATCACAGAATGCGAAATAGTTAGCTGGGCCGTTGGCAGAGGCAGAAACAGGGGAGTCTCCGTCTCCATATTGGTGATGAGGTGAGGCTGTATCATACTACTGTATTCCACTGGAGCATCTGAAGATTCCCATCCTTAAATAATTGGGACCCGTCCTCTGCACGCTTTCACGTGTCCTGCCATCCCTCCCTCACGCTCACTCCCCACGCGCCTCTCCTCCAAGTCAGCTCTGACTAATCAAAGGGCTGGAGATTAGCGAGAGAATGAAGTCGGGGTGGCGGCCTTGGCCAGCTTAACATGACTTGTTTGGAGTTTCTTGAGCTTGAGAACCACCATATACACTTAATGCAACGTTGTTGTTGGACTGAGCGGCTCGCGATGAACACGTTTGTGCTACTGCTGTATAAAATATTACTCTATCAATTCACTTTCTTCCAAAAGGGTGTGGCGGGGCAATCATTTATCTCCTCCAGGCAAGGACAAATTCCTTGGAAAATGTGCTAGTTAGAGAGAGAGAGAGAGAGAGAGGTGGCAGCATTTAGCCGATTTGCAGTAAGAATTGGGAGGTGAAGGGGTAAAGAAGAGAAGAGATAGCTGGAAAGAAACATGTTCGATGGGGTGCCAGAGCAATTCCACTACCAATTCATAGCCCTGACAAACTCACTCCCTCTTCATCTGCCCTGCCCTCCTTTCGATGCTTGTAACCCTTCTTCTCATCATCAATTGCCCCTCCCACCGCCAAATCTTCTGTCGCCATTGCACCACAAAGATGAGCAGCAACAAAGCAGCATGAACTCAAACATTCATGAAAGAGAACCACAATTGGGCCATCATCATGATGAGCTGATGGATTCCACCTGGACCGACGATGAAGTGCTTGCTCTTTGAGGATCAGATCTGGCCTCCACACTTGCTTCCCTGAACTCACTTGGGAACATGTCTCGAGGTAACTATCTATAACCCGCCTTTATAACTGTGCTCTCTTACTTCCCCAGTACTTCTTTTCTGTTACCAATTAATTAACTCTACTGAACATCTGGGCTCCCTTTCAATGCATCATCCTCCTGATCACTACTCTGCTGAAAAATTCGTTTGCCATAAATCAATGAGAGGTAGCTACACTTTAACTCGTGTTTACCTTCATGTGGTAGACAGAGGCACACGTGTAATTCACCACAGTGAGCTCATCCACTGACACACACACTACCAGAGAAAAAGAGCGTCGAGGCTGCAGGCCATATATCGAGGGAAGGCCGCGAATTATCATTTATTTTTAATTAAAAAGAAACAACTCTGTGTATGTAGTATATCATGAGTTCTGCTATGTATATAACTGTACATATGGCACTTTTAAACAGAGCTCTCGAACGAATGCTTCAATGGTTCTAATCGGATTTAATACGTAATGGTGGGCTGCAGGAAGCTTGCAGAGCTTGGATTTAAAAGGAGTGCGGAGAAGTGCAGGGAGAAGTTCGAAGAAGAAGCTTGTTACTTCAACAACATCCATTACACCAAGAACAACGGTTGCCGCTTTATCAGTGAGCTCGAGCCGCTTTATCAAATCCCTGCGGTCGACGTTGAGCTTGGGTCTCAAGAGAGTAAGCAGCCGCCGCCGCAAAAGCCGACTGAGGAACAACACAGGAGGATTGATCACGCATTAGAAGATGCCTCAGGAAATGACGCCTCATTGACTCAACAATGCGAGGAAACTGTGAAAATGATGGGAACATCAAAGATCAGGAAGCGAAAGAGGCACCATAAGTTCGAGAATTTGAAGGGTTTTTGTGAGAACATTCTGAACGAAATGATGGCCAAGCAGGAACAGATGCACAATAAGCTGCTGGAGGACATGTTTGAAAGAGACCGAGAGATATTCGCTCGAGATGAAGCTTGGAAGAAACGGGAGGTAGATAGGATGAACTGGGAGCTGGACATAATGGCGAAAGAGCAGGCTGTTGCGGGCCAAAGGCAAGCCGCCATTATTGATTTGCTGAAGAAAATTTCAGACCAGAGCCATCGTGCCAAAACGGTGGACGATCCCAATCCAAATTCTCTGGCTACTTCTTCCCTGTCGAACTCGCAGAACCCTAACCCATGTTGTAATTATACTGGGGAGAACAGTCCCGAACCGCCGCCACCCGTGGTTCTTAATTATACATGCGAAGGGGTATCAGATCAAAACCCTGATAGTGCAGCCAAAGTTCCCAATCCCTCTTCAAATGACTGTGCTCCAGCACTCACCCGGAACCGTAATACCGTCCTTGCCCAGTCAAATGATTTGCCCGAAAAAACAGCTTCGACGCATAGAGGAGGGTCGGTTAATTGTGGGTGGAGGGAGAAAGAAGAGGTGGGAAGAAGATGGCCGAGAGAGGAAGTGGTGGCACTGATAAACCTGAGAAGCAGCGCGAACGAAGAGAGGGAGGGAGGGAGCAGCAGGACGCCTCTGTGGGAGAGGATATCGGAAGGGATGAGGGAAATGGGGTACAGGAGAAGCGCCAAGAGATGCAAAGAGAAGTGGGAGAACATAAACAAATACTTCAGGAAGACGAAGCATCTGAGTAAGAAAAGGTCGGTGGATTCTAGAACCTGTCCCTACTTCCATCAACTCACTTCTTTGTATTCTCAAGGAAATTCTTCATCCGTTTAATGATCATCTTCCATGAAACTGCCTCCTTAGCATCTTCATCAATGGTGTATACGTTTCCTTTCTATCATTAATAGCCAAGTGTGTCACCACACACACCTCCGTCCGTATGGACATTTTTTTCCTTTAACCCCTCCACCGATATATATTACTTTTACGCTATGTTCAGTACGGGATTTTCGGAGAGAGGGGAGGGAAGTTCCCTCCCCTCCTTTTGTTTGGTTGGTGTAATTTTTTAAGAGGGGAGGAGAGTCCCTCCCTCCCCTCATTTGGTTAAGATATTTTTAAAGAGGGGAGGGGTTCTTCTCCCCTCTCCTTCCCTTCTAGTCTTTCCTCCAAAAGTGAGGTTTTTTAGAGGGAAGGTGAGAGATAATATTTTAATTCCTCATATACCCTTTCGATTTGTTAACCTCTAATCAGTCGTAAACATTTCTACATAAAAGAGTTCTTTTGAGCATCTAACAAGAGGTTATTAAGATAATTGTCTCTAAAATTAGTGAGCATTTGTAAACCTTTTTTTTCTCTTCTTCTAATTCTAAGAGGCCGTTGGTATTTTCTTTCATCTTCAAGGTCTTCTCTCTGATTGAAATCTATTACTTGTGACTTTTTATCTTGATATTCTATAAGTGTGTGAC